TGAAGACTTGGTCGCAGTGTAGAAGGAGCAGGGATTGAGCTGCTCTTGGGCCACTAATCAAACAATATATTTGGCCCAAGATCAATTTGGGCTAGAGCTTAAATATATGGAAATAAAATATTTTCAATAGTTTGGGCCTACTAATTTAAATAAAAAAGGGGTCGAATATATGGACATCCATCGAGTCGAATTCTCCAACGATTCAACTTACAATAATCGGGCTCGGCTCGATTGAATGGTTCGGTAAAATAAATTAACTGATATATATATATATATATATATTAAAATAATAATATTACTAATAAAATATGCATTTAGACAAATAATTACAATTTCACAAATAATAATATTTAAGACAATTAATATTAATAATAGCAATATTACTAATAATAAATAAATAATATCAGTTATAATAATAATTATGATAATAATAATAATAAAGACAATTTAATAATAGCAATAATCAATAATTATTCCCAAATAATCCACAATAAAACGGGGTATTACAGTCTTTCCACCTTACAAAGAATTCCGTCCTCGGAATTCAAAAATAAACTAGAAAGCGATGAAAAATACAAAGGGAATCAGAACTCAAAGTTCGGATATCGCCTCCGAAGCTCGGCCTCCTTCTCCCAAGTCGCCTCCGTCTCGTCATGTCGGCTCCAAAGCACCTTCACCAAGCTCACTGCCCGGTTCCTCAACTGATGGACCTTCTAGTCCAAAATAGCTACCGGTACCTCCTCGTAGGTAAGGTCTCGCTCGACCTGCAGTTCGCCGAAGTCCACCACGTGATCGAGATCATGCACGTATCTCTGCAACATCGATACGTGAAACACGTCATGCACTCCCGACAAGCTAGGTGGTAAAGCCAGCCGATAAGCCAAGTTCCCGACTCGAGCAAGGATCTCGAATGGCCCAATAAACGCGGTTTAAGCTTCCCCCTCTTCTCGAAGCGAATCACACCCTTCATGGGCGAGACCTTCAGGAAGACGTGATCTCCGACTGCATACTCGTGCTCATCCCTCTTCCGGTCAGCATAGACTTTCTGCCTCTTTAGGCTGACCGGATATACTTCCGGATAGCCTCAACTGTCTCCGCAGCTCTAAGAATGAACTCCGGACCCATGATCGTCCTCTCCCCGACCTCATCCCAGTACAAGGGTGTTCGGACCATACGTCCATATAATGCCTCGAACGGGACCATCTTAATCGTGGAGTGGTAGCTATTGTTGTAAGTCAGCTCGACCAAAGGCAAGGCACTCTCCCAGGTTAGGCTACGGTCCAAGACCACAACCCTCAATATGTCCTCCAAGTACTGGATCGTCCGCTCCGACTGGCCATCTGTCTGAGGATGAAAAGCTGTACTGAACTCCAGCCTCGTCCCCATGGCTCGGTGCAGGGTCTTCCAGAACTGGCAAGTGAACTTCGTGTCTTGATCAGACACGATCTCCACGGGAACTCCATGAAGCTTGACAATCTTATCCACGAACAACTCGACATACTGACTAGCCTTCATAGTCGTCCAGACTGGCAAAAAGTGGGCTGACTTCGTAAGGCGATCCACAATCACCCAAATAGAGTCATGCCCAGTCCTTGACCTCGGCAATCCTACCAAGAAATCCATAGTGATGCACTCCCACTTCCACAAGGGAACCTCAAGTGGCTGCAACTTCCCTCTCGGTTTCTGATGCTCAGCCTTCACTTGCTGACATACCAGACACCCATTCACGAACCTTTCCACTTGCCACTTCATACCTCGCCACCAGAAAGACTTCCTCAGATCCTGATACATTTTCGAACTACCAGGATGGACGGTGTATGGGGAACTATGGGCCTCTCTCAAAATCTCCCTTCGCAATTCCCACACCTTCGGAACACAAAGTCTACCCTCGAAGACCAAGGCCCCATCAGGTGTGACTGCGAATCTCTAACCCTACCGGCTTCTGATAACTCCTTCATCCGGCAAAGGAAACGATCATTCAGTTGCTCGGCGACTATCCTCTCACGAAGAGCCGGTCCCACAACCAAAGAGGTCAACATACCCCTGGTTGTCGAAGGTGGCTCCACTGCCTCTAGCTGTAGCCGCTCGAACTCCCGAAGAAGGACATCTTGCTCGGTAAATATACAAGACAACTGGCCATAACTCCTCCGACTAAGGGCATCGGCTACCACGTTAGATTTCCCCGGATGGTAGCTAATTGTGCAATCGTAGTCCTTGACTAGTTCCAACCACCTACGCTGCCGCATATTCAGCTCCTTTTGAGTGAAAATGTACTTTAAGCTCTTGTGGTCGGTAAATATCTCACACTTGCCTCCATAGAGGTAGTGTCGCCAAATCTTCAAGGCGTGAACGACTGCAGCTAATTCAAGATCGTGAGTGGGGTAGTTCTGCTCGTGAGGTTTCAGCTGCCTCGAAGCATAGGCTACGACCCTCCCTTGCTGCATAAGTACACGTCCCAAACCCATCTTCGAAGCGTCACTATAGATGGTGAACTCCAAAGAAGGATCGGGAATAGATAGAATGGGCGTGGTAGTGAGTCTTCTCTTCAACTCCTGGAAACTCTCCTCACACTTCTGACTCCAATCGAACCTCACAGCCTTTTTTGTAAGGTTGGTTAGTGGCTGGGCTATCTTCGAGAAACCCTCGATAAACCTCCGGTAGTATCCTACTAACCCCAGGAAACTACGAACATCAGCGGCACTTCTTGGCGTATTCCACTTGCTCACTACCTCGATCTTGCTGGGATCCACCTCAATGCCTCTCGCTGTCACAATGTGGCCAACGAATGCCACACGATCCAACCAAAACTCGCACTTCGAGAACTTAGCATATAACTTCTCGCGGCGAAGAGTCTCCAGCACAATCCTCAGATGCTCCTTGGGCTGATCGATATCTCGGGAATAGACTAGAATGTCGTCAATGAACACAATGACGAACTGGTCCAGGAAATGATGGAAGACCCTATTCATAAGGTCCGTAAACACGGCCGGGGCATTGCTGAGTCCGAACGGTATGTCTACGAACTCATAGTGGCCATAACGGGTATGGAAGGCAGTCTTAGAAATATCCGACTCCCGGATCTTCAGTTGATGATAGCCAGAACGTAAGTCGATCTTCGAAAATACACTGGCTCCTCTCAACTGGTCGAAGAGATCCTCAATGCGAGGAAGGGGATACTTGTTCTTGACTATAAGGGCATTCAACTCACGATAGTCAATACACATGCGCATCGATCCGTCTTTCTTCTTCACGAATAGGACGGGTGCTCCCCACGGCGAGACACTCGGACGAATGAAACCAAGATTGAGCAGCTCCTGGATCTGAGCCTTGAGCTCTTGAAGCTCCTTCGGCGCCATACGATAAGGGGCCTTAGAAACAGGGCCGGCTCCTGGTACTAGATCAATGTTAAACTCCACTTGGCGGTCGGGCGGTCCTCCGGGCAATTCATCAGGAAAGACATCGAGATACTCGCAGACAATAGAGACTCTCTCCGGGGACCTCTCAGAATCGTCCTCGGATACTATAGAAACCAGATAGCCTTGACAGCTACCCTTAGAAAGGCTCTTCCTAGCTTGCATGGAAGAGATGACTCGAGGCACAGTCCTCGACTTCACCCCATAGAAAATAACAGGCTGACTGGAAACGGGGAAGAGACTGACTTCGCGCTCCTGGCACCGGTTATCGGCTCGATAGCAAGTGAGACAGTCCATGCCCAAGATCACATCGAAGTCTCGCATTTCAATAACATAGCAATCGGCCTCCAAAACACGCCCACCAATACTGACTGGAAGATTGGAAACCATAGAATCGGAAATAATGATCTTTCCCGAGGCTGGACTAACCTCGAGAGGGTCACAAGGGCACACATTACTAATGGACAAAGCCTCCAAGCATCGAGAGGAGATAAAGGAATGAGTAGCTCTAGTGTCACATAACGCAAATATAGGCACATTGGATAAAGAAATCATGCAAGACATGGTACCTGCGTTGTTAGCGGCCTCGTCATGAGCAAGGGTATAGACTCGGGCCTGACCCCCAGCCCTCTGCTGGTATGGTGGGCTGCCTATGCTGCTGCTGCTGCTGGTAAGGTGGAGGAGGAAGCTGCTGCTGCTGCTGCTGCTGCTGTTGGGTATGCTGCCTCGGGGGCTCGGGGCAAGCACTGAAGAAATGACCGGTCTTCATGCAGTTGAAGCAAACTCGCTGGGTGTACCAGCACTCTCCCGGATGATAACGACCACAGTTACGGCACTTCAGAAACGGGTCTCGTGCGAAGGGGTGGTCACCACGACGGTCGTTTCCACCGCGCTTTCCCTTCCGGTTATCCCGGTGGGAATCAAACTTTCTCTTGCCCGAACTAGAGCCGGGCGGTGCGGAGGAAATGGGCTGAACTAGCTGAGCGGAAGGGGCAGAAACATTGAGAGTTTGGTAACTCTCAAGCTGGGTGGCTTGGATAACGGTCTCGTCAAAGGAAAGATTCCCCTGGCTAGCAACATGTATACGGAGGGTTTGGTTCAGACCATCCCGGAACTTGTGGGCCTTCTTTAGATCAGTGTCCACCATATGTGGAGCAAAGGCGCTCATGCGGGTGAACTCCCGCTCATACTCCTCAACGGTACAAGTACCCTGAGTAAGATCCCAGAAAGCGCGCTCCATCCTCATGCGATAACTCTGAGGATAATACTTCTCCATGATCACCTCCTTCATATGGTCCCAAGTCAGGGCATTAAACTCCGCCTGCCTCAACCTCCAATAGCCGGACCACCATAGGGCGGCATCGCCCTTCAGCATATAGCGGCCACAGACGACCTTCTGGGCATCGGTGCACTGCAGCAAATCAAAATTCTGCTCTAGCTGACGGATCCACTCCGCCACGGCTTGGGGCCCTTCGACCCCAGTGAAATTCGGCTGGGTCAACTGGCAAAACTGAATCACAATGTTGAGATGAGTCCCAACCGGATTGGGAGCCTGCCGGTGAGGTGGAGATGGGGATGGGGACGGAGGTGGAGACGGAGTAGGCTGACGTTTGCGAGCATTACGACGAGCCATAATTCTACATTGAAAATGGGTCGAACAGTTTAACACAATAATAAAAGAAGTCTAGAGTTCAACACTAGAGTTCGAATTTAAAGGTGGATTAGTCCTAAACCCGATTTCATTCCAATAATCAATAATCAACCAATACATAATTATCTCAAAGTCATTCAGGTACTCATACCTGAGTTGGCGCGACACGACAAGAGCGGGTGGTCTTAACATGAATTCGAAACACATAATCACATAATCAACTTTTTATACTTAAACCAGTCTACAGAAACGCAGACTGGCTCTGATACCAAACTGTAACGCCCCACTTTTATTTACAGAAAATCAGAATAAATTTTTCGAATTTATTTTAAAAACAATATTCGAGGCGCTACTCATTTTCAAATCAATAATCAATACTCGACATTTTCTCCATATTCGACAATTATTGATATTCGTAATCAATAAGAAAATCCCAATAATCAATCAATAATCCAATAATGATCCTAGGGAAGTAATCCCAATCAATAATCTAATACTAGAAAAACAATAGTCAATAATAATACAATAATATCCAAGTTCCATTCAAAGCGGAAGCATTTATTCAAATTAAAGACCACCACTCGCATCCCCTCCGTCATGCCACTCTATCTAACCTGCATCTATGAAGAGCAGGTGGGGATGAGCACAAGAGGAAAAGTAGTGCTCACCACTATGCAAAAAATGTTAATCTCAATATTAAACAGTAATCAATAATCGAAAGGTATGGTCTCAGCATGTATACGGAACAATAATCTATCCCATTCTCCCATCAATAATCACAATAATCAGACTCAAGTGCACACCTACACATAGACTACTGCTGACTATATATCGAATGCCCTCCGGTCCTACATCGAGTGCCAGCCAGTAGGAGTAAACCACCCCACCGGCCAAGGCCTTGCCTTGGACTTACCAATGAGGATCACCGGCCGAGGGACCTAAGCCCTGGTCTTACGGCTTCTCAAGGAAGACTACCGGAAGGTACGTTCTATAGCTACGGGGACAACCGTCCGGTGGCCGATGCAGCTCACACTGAAGGCTACATGATTCACATGCATACTTTGATCATACCACAAATTAAAACAGTAATAACATTTAAGGCATAGAAATTTTTACAATTACAACCCACCTGAAAATTTCGGTAGAAAACGGCACACAGAAGCAAGTACGTAGGATGAGGCTCGACTCCTCAAATACCTACATTTTAAGCGAGATAATTTATCAATAATTTATCTCACTACTCGAATTTAACATAACACCTATACTTAATAAAAATCAAGATTTACGGGTTTTAATTGGATTTTTCGTGGACTTGGAACTCTCTAATTTTTGCAAAATAGGACACGGAAAATTAATTTGGAGCCTTGGGACTTTAAAATAATTTTCTTAAATTTTTACTACTTTGAAAATAATTTTTAAAATCGAAATCGGTATTAAAACGGGTTTCCGGAACTCAAAATAGGCTTAAAAGTCAACTTAGGGTGCCAATTAAAATTTCTGGGATGCATTAAAGGAAATTGGGCCTAAACATAGGTTTGGCCCAATGCTCATATGGGCTAGGCACACGCGGGCTGAAGGAAGGGCCTCTCGCGGGCTCGCGGGCCTCCAGGCTGCAGAGGGAATCCGGGCGCGCGCGGGCCGAAGTTCGGGCCAGAAAGCCCGCGCGCTGGGCTACCTTATATATAAAAAAAAGGCTACATTTCGCAAGCCCTGGGGATAAAACCCACTACCTCGCGCACAAAAAACACGCTCAACGCCACTGCGCTACACGCTCTGATGCGATTATACAATGAAAACTTTATTACATTAATTAAACTTTAAGTCTGGGACCTGAAAAAACAGAGTACAGAGTTGGGAAGAAAAATGCAGAGGCTCGCAAAAATCTATCATCTTGGACCAAAACTCGACCGAAAATTGACGACGACTACTCCAACGACAACGGGGGTTCGGGAATTTCAAACATTAATGAAACGTATTTTAAGAGTTCGAAATGCTTATAAAAATCGGGTTTTTGTACAATTAATCAAAATGACATTCAAGACTCGAAATAATACAAAGAGACGCCAAAGCAACAAAACAAGACTCCGAAATAAAACGTACTTATCACAACAACATAACGGCATACACGTTTATAAAATCGAGTGTTCCAATCTCTTCCGAAAATTCCACGTACGAAATATACATATAAACAATTGAATGAACCAAAAATAATCCGACTTCAAATCAACTTTCGGTAAACCGAACACATCATATATATAAAGTATGATATATGAAATAGATCGTAATAACGAGGGGATCTGAATAAGTTACCCGTTTTCGGGAACGCACGAGTGATTGAACGGGAAACGGGCCCGACAACGGGTCGGACGAACGGCTTTTTGGACTCGGACAGTAACTCCAACGAACAAGACCCGGGGTGTCTGCTCGTGAGTGGAAGACGATGCTGACGTCAATAACGGCCGGCAAAACGGCTGTCGGAGGTCCGGGCGAACGGGAGGACGCGGTGCTCGAACGGGGCTCTCGAGAAGGAGCTACAACGGACGGAGGAGCACGGTTGTGGGTCGTTGTTTCTCGCGGTTTGCTGGCCTGGGAAGTCGCTATTGAAGATGGTGGCTATGGGTTGAAGGAATGCCGGAGATGATGGTGATTCGCCGGATAAATTGCAGGTTTGCGATTTTTTTTTTTTTTTTTTAATTCTGCTAACAGAAGGGGATAGAGCTTAGGAGTTGAGATGATGTTTTGAATTTTTCCCCAAGGAAGTGACTCCTCTGCTGCGATATAAAGGGGCGAGAGAGAGATTGATGGAGAACGCGGTGATCGTGCGAGGAGGAAGCGCAACTGATTTGATCCGCTGAACTTGGTCGCAGTGTGGAAGGAGCAGGGATTGAGCTGCTCTTGGGCCACTAATCAAACAATATATTTGGCCCAAGATCAATTTGGGCTAGAGCTTAAATATATGGAAATAAAATATTTACAATAGTTTGGGCCTACTAATTTAAATAAAAAAGGGGCCGAATATATGGACATCCATCGAGTCGATTTCTCCAACGATTCAACTTACAATTTTCGGGCCTGGCTCGATTGAATGGTTCGATAAAATAAATTAACTGAAATATATATATATATATTTATATAATACACACAATAATATATTAAAATAATAATATTACTAATAAAATATGTATTTAGACAAATAATTACAATTTGACAAATAATAATATTTAAGACAATTAATATTAATAATAGCAATATTACTAATAATAAATAAACAATAGCAATTATAATAATAATTATAATGATAATAATAATAATAAAGACAATTTAATAATAGCAATAATCAATAATTATTCCCAAATATTCCACAATAAAACGGGGTATTACATCATTGGTCAAATATCACCTCCTCGATCTGATCGAAGAACTATAATACTACGACCAATTTGTTTCTCTACTTCATTTCTGAATTCTTTGAACTTTTCAAATACTTCAGATTTGTACCTTAATAGGTATGCATAACCATACCGTGAATAAATATCAGTAAAAGTTATGAAATAGTAGTAGTTCCCCTTGGCACTAACATTTAGTGGTCCAGAAACATCTGTATGGATCAAATCCAACAGACCTTTAGCTTGCTCCACTTGTCCAACAAATGGTGATTTAGTCATTTTACCTTTAAGACATGATTCACATGTAGGCAACCTTTCCTCTCCCCTAAGGTCAAGTTTTGGTCCTAATTTGTCAATCCTCTTTTCAGATATATGACCTAATCTAGCATGCCAAATTGTGAATGAACTATGATTATCAAATTTCTTTTTATTTTGTTGAATGGTTAGAATGGGACTTTGTGGTGTAATGGTATATAATCCAGTTGGCAAATTTCCGGAATATATAAAAGTTGTATCTTTGAAAATGAAACATCTTCCATTCTCAATAACGAACTTAAAAACTTCTTTATCCATTACTAGAATAGAAATAATGTTTCTTATAACATCCGGAACATACAAACAATTTGTAAGACAAAATTTTATATTATTATTTAAAGCTAGATAAACAGTCTCAATTGCTTTGGCAGCAACTCTTGCTCCATTGCCCATCCTTAGGATTGTTTCATCATCTTCTAGCTTGTTACTTCTTGCCATCATCTGCAAATCATTGCAAATATGTGAGCCACAGCCAGTATCCAATACCCAAGAAGAATCGTTAGCTGATAAGTTAACTTCAAAAAAATAAGTACCTGAACTTTTCTGGCTTCAAGATACTCCTTGCAATTCCTCTTCCAATGCCCAATTTTGCCACAATGATAACATTCATGACTAGGCTAAGAATTGACCTTCTCTTTGTTCTTTTCTTTGTTGTTCTTTGCCTTCTTATTGGATTTGTTAGAAACCTTTCCCTTCCCCTTTCTTTTAGATTTAGAAGAGGATCCAACAAGAAGCACCGACTTATCCTTTTTTATCGTGTATTCAGCCGTTTTTAACATACTCACAAGTTAATGGAGAGAAGTCTCCATTTTGTGCATGTTAAAATTAACGACAAAGCTATCAAATGACTGTGGCAGAGATTGCAGCAACAGATCCACATAGAGTTCATTATCCATAATGACTCCAAGGGACGAAAGCCTTTCAATAAGAGCTATCACCTTCAGCCCATGATCATGAAATGAAGAGCCCTCAGTCATACGACATCTGAAAAGCTCCTTAGATATCTGATATCTAATTTGTCGAGTTCTATCACCACACAACTCTTGTAGATGAAGGAGTATTTTAGAAGCATTATCCAATAATTCATTCTGTCTCTGTAACTCATTTGACATTGTTTCTAACATGTAGCACCGAGCTTGGAGATTGTCA